GACGAAAGGAAATCACAATATTGATATATGTTTAAATCCAATCTAAGCTTTCGGCTTACATAAGCCATTATCAAAGATGACAATTACTTTTCAATATATCAACCAATACACGGACGAAACAATAATTTCAAAGTAACGACCAACTCGTGTATACGAGACACGGAAGCGAAAATCGCGTCGCAGCTCGTGACGCCACACATGACCACGCGAGAGTGAAAACGAGAAATATTAAGTATGGGAAGCCGTTGGTATAAACCAATGGCTTCTGTTATCAATTACAGGCATTCATTTGTGGAAATTTCGTAGTTTATTTTGTTCAGGTTAGGTATCAACTGTTTTATGCATGTAGCTTCAAGAATTTTTAGTTTTTGTTTATTGTTTTCATGTTTAAGTATAGTTGTTTTCAACAAGGATTTTCCGGAATTGTGTACGCTGCCAGGCCTGTTGTTTTAAATATCTGCCTATATATATATATATATATATATATATATATATATATATATATATATATATATATATATATATATATATATATGCAACTTAGTCTATTATTTTCCTTTCAATGACGTCTTTTCTTATAATGTGTCCCAGAAATTTCAATTGCCTCTTTCTGATTTTGGTATACATGTATTTCAAGTTCCGGTCATTTGGGTCTTTTGAACAGGAGAAGAGGGTTCGTCCCTTGCTCTCGGTTTAGCAATAGGTTTCCCTTTCCATTTGCTTCTAAAGTCTTCTATTTCTCTTTCATTTCCAGTAAACCCTTGCGTCTTAGTGGCATTATAGCGTTGTTGTGATGAATTGATTAAAAAAATATTCATAACAGTCTTGCTTCTCACATGTAAAGAAATTCCATGTGGTTGAATTTTTACAATTGTGAATATGCTTATGAAAATCACATAAATTTCATAATTTTTACAAATTTTAATGTAAGGGAAGTAACTCAGTTAATAATTGAAATATTAATAGATTATAATTGACTTGTTTTTAAACTTTTGTTGTAATTTGGATATTTTAACAACTATATACTATAAGCATTTCAGAACGTTTTTACTATATTCATAATTATGTGTTGGTTTTAATTTTATAATAAAGATAGCTTTAAGAATTTGTAGTGTCTGCTTATTACATGGTGAAGTATACTGGTATTATCCACTAATAGTATATAGTTTTTAAATATATCTAAACTACAACTAAACAGCTTAAAAACAAGTAAATTATACCCTTGTATTAATATATATATTAATATATATATATATATATATATATATATATATATATATATATATATATGAAGAAATATACTCTTAAGATGTGCTATATTTATAGGATAAAGTCATCAATATCAGAGATAGAGCGTGTGAAAATATAAAAGAGAACATTGAATTTTACAGGTTCACAATATGTTCAACAATATTTTTCTTTCTTAAAAGGAATATTTAAACCTATATATTAGCCAATAAGCGTACGATTAAAAAATCTAAATTTTCGATTTTTCGGAGCCTACCTTTTTATTATAAATATCATCAATTCTTGTTTATTTACCAGTTTTTCAGTTAACTTTGGCCAGGGTTGATATTCGATCAACTGTCACACAAAAGAAACGGAAATTCTCACAATTAATTACTCATATCTTTCCCTTATTTATTCGAGTAAACAACAGTGCAAAAATTACGTTTAGCGAATGCGACCACATTCCGCTAATTTGCTTATATTCTGCAACAGTAGAGACTAACATTCTATTTCATCATAGACGCATTCGTCAGGCCACGATTCCTATTGTTTCGGCCAAAATCCAGCTCGTATCTCAAAAAAACGTATATTGGTACGTTTATTTCTCGGGGTTTTAATGTATTTAGAAGTCGCTTTTCGATTTCAAAATAGTATTAATTTGAGAGATTTAATTTTTCTTTAGAGATAATCGTTGATAATCTTGCAACATAAACTGGCATTTTTTTTATTTAAAATATTCTTCTAGAATTTTATTTATTTAACATGATTTAAAAAAAAAAAAGCTCAGTAAACTATTAATAAGAAAAAATGAGTCACCAACAAATCATCTCCAGAACAGAAAGTCTTAAACACAGATAAATTTGCACATAAAATGCATATGGTTTTACTGTAACCTGATACTGCCAGTTAAACATACAACTATTTAAACGATGAGGAATAAATGAAAATCACCTTTTGTCTCATTGGAGCAGTTTTTGACTTTGACTCGATTTAGAACTTGGAATAATAAATTGAACCTTTTCTTCGAATCAGCTATTCATTCTTCAGAAATTAAAATAGAAATCGAAAAAATAAAAGTAGTTTATTTTTTCCGTTCTGTTAAATTAAAACTCTGATTTGAAATTCCTTTTGTTCTGGTCAATTACGTTTGTCTTGGATATTTCCCGCTTAAACTTTCGCTAGATCAGCTCAAAGAAAGCCTTTCTTAATTGGATGTGAAAATGCGTTAATTGATTGCGCGTTTCATTTCGCACTGACGTTCGTGCATGACAGACCTCATCAGATGAGACGACAGGATCATGTCCTGACATTAAAAGACTTTGGTTTAATTGGTGAATTTAAATTTAGGGACGAAGGAAACAAAGATCATTTTTTTTACGAATTGGCTCTGTTGTGAAAGCATTATATAATTACAACAGCAAACACAATCACACACACACACACACATCGGGTGAGATGAGTAAATTGTATATTTTTAATTTTGCGCATGCGCGTTGTTTGTTTATGATTTTGTCGATTGCACAGTATAATGGGGGTTATTTGGTCACTGTCTGCTAGAAAAAGAGCACCATGATGCCATTCAGTCCTCCAGAAATTTCGAAACGGCATGCTTGTGGAGCCCCATTTCAGACTCATAGAAAAATGCTAATAGATTTAAGTACTGAAAACACATCAAAGAGAAAGTAACCACTTTTTGTATTTTTCCGGCTCCGATTATTTCTATCTTTTTATACGTATATAGTAACCAAGCAGTGACTTTGTACAAGACGCGCGGTATTATTTAAATTGGCAGACGGTAAAATATCTTAAAATGAAATTTTATAGGTTCACAATATGTTCAACAATATTTTTCTTTCTTAAAAGGAATATTTAAACCTATATATTAGCCAATAGGCGTACGATTAAAAAATCTAAATTTTCGATTTTTCGGAGCCTACCTTTTTATTATAAATATCATCAATTCTTGTTTATTTACCAGTTTTTCAGTTAACCTTGGCCAGGGTTGATATTCGATCAACTGTCACACAAACGAAACGGAAATTCTCACAATTAATTACTCATATCTTTCTCTTATTTATTCGAGTAGACAACAGTGCGAAAATTACGTTTAGCGAATGCGACCACATTCCCCTAATTTGCTTATATGCTGCAACAGTTGAGACTAACATTCTGTTTCCTTCTTTCACCCAGTCTACAACTAGAATGTATACACACTCGACCTGTGAATGTATACACACTCGACCTGTGACATTAATCTATTAGACCTTTCAGATATATCGGCACCCACGGTTCTGAAACGGGGCTCCATATATTGTACTGCTTGGCTTTGGAACCGGAAGATCCAATACTAATATTTCAGAGAGTTTGGGTGTCAATCTGATAGTCTAGAGGATTCAGAAATTACGAAGGTATGGCATCTCGGAAACTTCAGTCTGATCGTTCTGATAAAAAAGAACCTTGAATTTGTTGGTAAGAGTCTGTGACAAGTCAATCGGGTCCATAACCAGGAACATAGGAGTGTCTGAGTTACTTATCAGGTTGATAGTGCATGAAACACATCCGATATATATCGTAAAAGATTAGAATAATGTTTATCCCAAGCCACGAAGGAGAGTTTGAATCACCGCGCTACGAATCTTTTCAACAAATTCAACCAACATGCTTTGGTTTTTCACAGACGAGAAATATTTCTGCCGGGACAAGAAAGTGAACATGCAGAAGAACCTTACTTACTGTGTTCCCAAAAGATTCATCGGGAGTGATAAAAACCAAATATCCCGTAAATACCATGGCATTTGGAGTGCTCACTAGTGATGGCGACGTAATGCCTCCAATCATCTTCCCACAGGGCCCCAGTTTCACTAAGGTGCTCTACATTAAGTGCACTGAGAAGGTAGTACTGTCTTGGGTCAAGAGGGTGGTTGCTGGAAGAATATATGTCTGGCAACAAGATTCTGCACCATACCACACAAACATTAGAACCCAGTCATGGCTGTCAAACAATTTCTTCGACCACATCACTCCTTACGTATGGCCGCCTAACTCCCCAGGTTGCAAACCCCTTTATTATAATAAGTGGGGCGCAGTTGAGCGAGAGACCAACAAAACTCATTGTAACACCTAAGATGAACTGAAGGCATGGACTATGGTAAACTTCTTCAACTTAAACAATAAGGCTATGCAGAAGAGTTGCAGGAGATTTCGTAGTTGTCTGGAGGCCGCGGTTGCAGGCAATGGCGATTTTATTGAATAAATTTGATCTTTGGCATTTCAAGACATTTTTGTGCAATTTTAACAAATATATACAGTGTAACCCGGATATAAGAGACCCGGATATAAGAGAAACCCGGATATAAGAGAGATTTTCTCTAGTCCCAAATTAGAGCATGTGTTAATGTATATAAATTAGACCCGGATATAAGAGAAACCCGGATATAAGAGAAACCCGGATTTAAGAGAGATTTTCTCTGGTCCCGTCCTCCCCGATATAAGAGAGTTCGTTTTGAGTGACAGTGTGATGTCGTAAATCGGTCAAACAGAGGTCAGTTAGAGAGAGAGTGAAGTTCAATGACTTAATCTTGACTAGTCTAGAGACACGGTGTGTCCAATCTGTGTCTGTAGGAGACACCCTCTACCTTATGATTTTGCTTTGTGTGGCTAAGGGTAGCGCCGCCTGCTTTTTTGCCGACTTTGCTTGTCGTTGCATTTACTGGACAGCACTGTTAATTTTGCCACTGAAAACCGTTTGCTTGCGATCATTGTGATTAGTGATGTCAGCGTCGGCGTCTCAACGAAAAACTCTGAGCATTTCTGAACAGTTGGATCTCGTCGTCGATGTCAAAATGAAGAAACTCAAACTGGCCGCTGCAGCCAAAAAGTACGGAATCGGTTATTCAACAGCAGCAAAAATTCTCAAAAAAGAAGGCGATCTCAGATTGTGCATGCAAGTGAACGGAAACACTAATCGCAAACGAAAGCGCCAATCCGTGCACAAGGACGTTAACGAAGCGCTTACACAATGGTTTACGCAAGCATGTCCTGATGGAGCTACCGTCACCGATCACGTCATCAGGCAGAAAGCATCACAACTGGCCGTAAATCTTGAAGTTGATTTTGAACCGAGCAATGAAGAGCTCATGCGCTGGAAGCAGGCCAATAACGTTTCGTTCAAAAAATTTCACGGCAAATCAACGTCAGCAGATCATGGTTCTGCCAACGAATGGGTGACAAACGTTTTGCCGCAACTTTTTCGTTTGGAACTGTGATGAAACGGGGAATTTCTACAAAGCCATGCCGTCTGGATCTTTGCGATTTGCCGGCGACGAACAGTCAAATGGGACAAAAGTTCCCAAAGACAGACTCACAATGCTTCAGTTCACAAACATGGACGGCAGTGAAAAGCAAGCTGTAGCTGTTGGTAAGTCGGCAAAACCACGCTGCTTTAAAAATGTTAAAACTCTGCGTATTATCGTCGGGAACTTGTTCGAATGCAAAGCGCAGCGATCGATGCTACACCGCCAGTGCCGCTGTCCGAGGTGGCCAAGCAGATAACTGTTTTGAAGGCCATGTACATGATGAAGCGAGCACTTTTCATGGTCAAACCGTCAACAATTCAAAATTGTTTTAAAAACGCCGGCTTTGTCATTGAATCACAGGCTGAAGTGGAAGAAATACTCGAAGAAAATGATCAAGTTTCTCCACCATCGGGCATGGAGCAAACAGATTTTGAGGAATTTATCAGCTTCGACGACCGTACACAATGTTATGGAGAACTGACTGACACGAACATCACACGTGGTATAAAATCGGATGATCAAGATTTTGACGAAGATGATGATGCTGGAAGCGTAAGTTCTGAAGTTTCTGAAAGTGACAAACCAGTGCCAAATTCTCTGGCTGCATTGAATGCGCTTGAAACTCTGACAGCCTACTTTGAAGCAAAAGGCAGTAATCCTGATGGCGCATTGAAAATGATTTATGGACTGTATGAAAATGTTCATGATGTTAACAAAGAGATTTCTGTACAATCAAAAATGACTGACTTTTTTAAGAAAAAGTAATTTTTGATTGAATTATTTTAAAAACTGATTGAAAATGTATTTTTGTCTGTGTTTTTTTATGTCAATAACTGTTAAATAAACTAGTGTTCTGTACGTAAAAAGCGTTATATGAAGTGTTCCCATACTTACTTAAACAAAATAGACCAAACTCGGATATAAGAGAAACCCGGATATAAGAGACTTATTCTCCGGTCCTGACAACTCTCTTATATCCGGGTTACACTGTATTAAAATAAGATGTCAGTGTTATTTTCATTTTTACGTAATTTAGACGACAATTTTTCCATCGCACATTATACGTATTACTATTAATATATATTCTAATAATAATCTATATACTAATAAATAATATACACTTGTTTTCTCAGCGGTAGTTTGAAACACGATGGAATCGTCAGGAGATGCAAACTGGGTTTTAATCATCAACTGACGACTGCATCATGAATGAATACTACTGCTGATCAAAAAATATGTATTTATTATTAGTATAAATTTAGCTCTGTTAATATACGTCGAGTACTATTTTATTAACACATGCACTCATTGTACGATGCTATACACACACACACACACACATATATATATATATATATATATATATATATATATATATATATATATATAATAACATCCCAAATCAACTCATATGGTTAATAATATTATTTCTACCGACGAAAATAAAAATCGTCAGTCTTATTGGCTGAGTTATTGCCGGAATTAGAAATTTAATTTAATTGTGAAACCTACAAAAAACGTCGAATACAGAATTTATCCATTTCAATGTTTCAATCAGACGAAATGCACGAGAGATTGATCAGGGGAACGTGGAAGCTATTTGTCTTAAAGGGAAGAGATTTTATAAAGTTAAACCCGGATATTAACCTTATGAAACTGGTTTATAAAAGATTCACACACACACACACACATATATATATATATATATATATATATATATATATATATATATATATATATATATATATATATATATATATATATATATATATATATATATATATATATATATATATATATATATATATATATATACAGAAATTGTCCCAATGATTGTTTGTTCCAAGCGCTTTTGGTTGATCTGTAAAGGTTTGGGGTGTATTATTGTAAATGGGGTAAAAGTGCCATTGGAAATGTTGTGCCCAATTGTTGAAATGAAGATATTTAATTCTCGAACATGATCAATATTTTGTGGCCATTTTCGAAGTTGATTTTGTTAAAGATTTTTTCGGTTTCATTTTTTTCTATTAATGATGAGTGTTTCAATTATTTTTAGATACGTTTTTGCAATTAGAGGTGCGTATCAAATTGTATTCTCGGCGACAATATTTCATATCAATGTTGGTAGATTTTTCTGCTTGCTTAACGAAGTTCTGGTCTGATAGTGGTTGGAACATCTTTCTTGATAAGCAATTAATTATTTATAGTATTTTTTTTTGTCGGGAACGCAGTACCTGAAGGTTTATTTGAATTCATAAATAATATTGGTTTTTATATAGATTGGAATTCTCTGGCGTGTTCTTGGTGATTGTATCGGTAGGCTGTTTTTGATATTTTTTTTTCTTTGTTATTTTGCAATGAATAATTATCGCTAAGTTTTAGATTCTTCCCCTGAAGCAAAAGCTGTGATCGGTGCTGGAGTTATGTGGCAACCTGAATCGCAGTCCTTCAAATGTTATTGGCCCGACGTTCACGTAAATTTGAAACCCATGGGTACATTACTGATATTTAATTATCTGATATTTAATTATCTTCTCACTTTCTTTAATTGTCACCCTTCAGACAGCTGAGACGATTCTGTCTATAAGTTGATGTATTTTCTTTTCCATGCTATCACGTTTACACGCTGTCAGTTTATAAATCATTTATTTTCTTGTTCTTATATCTATGCTTTAACTAATAATCCATAAGTTAAATACAACCATGAATTCTCCAACACACTGCCTACTAACAAACATATTATGTTTTTGTTGTAAAGTAGTTTTCACAGCGGAGGCTTCTATTTCAATAAGTCGGTCCTAAAAGAGCCCGACATACAAAACGTTAGGAACTTGCAATAATAGTTAATGACGCAGCAACCTAGTTGGGGTGGTTGATACTTCAATGTCCGACATCGACTGACTCACTCAACTCCACTGAGCTCAACTGGCGACCGCTACTACTACTACTACTTATTATGTGTGGGAGAGTCTATTACAATAGAATAGGTAATGTTCTAGTATAACAGTTGTGAAGAAGCCGACCACCGAAAACTATTATATTTCCCAATAAAAAAAAGTTATTTTTATATCTTCTATTGGGACATCAAATCAGATTATTTTGACAAACCCCGTAAAATTAAGAAAAAAATATTTATAATCCCTTCCTCACTTCCATGTATATCTGCTTTCTGAATACAGGACAGCGTCTTTCTCCCAAACCGCTTATATGGATTCGTGATACTTTGTGTTTGTTAGGCGAGTCTTAACATTTTAAGTTGTTTTTTGTTTTTTTTAAGAAGCTGTTTTTTTTCTTTCTGTATCTTCAGGCGATATTCGTAAAACGTGTTTTGATGGTGTGAGTCTAAGTCGTTCTTCAAAAATAAATTGTTTTTGGTTAGAAGTTGAGGTCGGGATGCGTGGATATCTTTCAGTCAGCTTCCTGCGAGGCTGGTCTCAGAGCTCACAGCTCAACTCTGTCTGCGTCTGCGTCTCTCTCTCTCTCCAACTGCTTTCTGTGTTATTAACTACCGTCTACTCGTTGCGATTCTGCTTATATGGACGCCGACCAAAACCGGGTGTGGGCTTGTCGTTGTTTGGGGGTCCTCGATAATTCTAAATCCACAACAAGGATTTTGTTAAACTTTTCACTTTAATTTTACTCTGCTTTTTTAATTGATGAATCAACTGCTTCATGAAAAACGAACACAGGGAACCCATCGGGGAAGCATCTATATGCTCTTTCTACATTTACAATTACCTTTTAAAAATATTGAAAATTAAACCAAATATCTGGCTTACTTGTTATACTGTGTTATTTACATTATAAAAATAGTTTTCGTTTACCATATTAAAATGCTATAACGAACGTTTGTTAACAATTAATGAAAATTCAACTTAAGTTAACTTCTTTTAAAATATTTAATTAAAAAATAAAAATATTAATTAGTTTCACGTTCCAATTGAGTTTTGTTCGTGTAAACATTTTAAAATAATTAATTTTGTTTTTTATTAAACAACTAATACATAGATATAAATATATTCCAAATTATTAATTATATTTAGAAAAACAAAAAATATATTAAATTCTTGAAATAATATGTTTCGTAATAACGTTTAAACTTAATAATGTTCATTATAGAAAAAATTCATAAAACAGTATCAATGAACAATATATTGCAATTACAATTATGCAATTATATTAATTAGTTCTCATGAATTTAAGCTTAGTACTAGATTGGCACTTAGGTCTCATCATTTTAATGTTGAGCGAGCTAGATCTAACCGTAAGTTCTATTCTAATAGTTTCTTTTTCTCGCACTTCTCCCCCGTGGACTTCCCTGTCGTCTCGTTGCTTTCCAGTCAACTACAATCTTCAAAAATACAAATATGAGGGCAATGTTTTAGGAATCAGGTTCTTTTGTTGTCCTTTCTCTTCACTAACTTTTTTTTCTTTCTTTTTTTCACTCTTAGTAACCCCTTGTATCTTAATGCTTTATCACCTTACTTGGGGTGAAATGAAACATCAAAGTATGTGCCATCATTGGTCTCATTCTCGTTTCTGTTCAGAGTTTCTCTATTGGTAAATCCGACTTGCTAAACAATATTGATTTTTCTTCAAGATAATAATTTATATAGATATTTCTTTTCTATTTTCAACAATAGGTTTCAACATAAGTTACGAGCTTTTACTTTATTCATATCTTAAAATTTTTTTCACATTTTAAATTTGTTTTTTTTCCCATTTTTTGATTTTGGTTTGTTTTGTTTTATGGCATATCAACCTCAATGGGTGGGTACCTCGAGGCGGTGTTATGGTTAGCAAGTTAGTCTCGCTAGAACAATTACGACTGAGTAGTGAGCTCAATCCTCACTGGACGCTCTATATCTTTGACCTTGTGCCACATTTAAGCTACGCTTGGAAAATCAATATCAACCTCAATGGGTTATTTAATATCGACAAGATTTTTGTTGCTAGTAATATTTTTTTTT